TCGCGCTTCCGTTCCTCCCTTGGGAATTTCTGTTAGAGGCCTCTTACTGGCTGTCAGCTTGATGTGAAGATAAAAGTTCAGTGCTGTGGAATTTTTAGGAACAAAAAACTGTGACTTCTGGATTTGGGGTTGATTTTTGTGCTAGGGGTGGGGTCATGGGTTAACGTTGAACAATTTTTTAAGTCTGTATTATGTTTTAAAAATATTAATGATTTAAAAGTTTAAATTTTTAATTTTTATATGTGGAAGTTTCTCCTGTTGGCTACAGGGAAGTTCAAGTGGTGTCTTCTTTGTGCTGTTAAATATATATTATATACTTTAGAAGAAGACAAAGAGAGGAGTCTCATTATTTTTAAATGATCCTAAGTGTATGGTCTGTTTTTTGTACATAGAATTTAACTTGCTTTTTGGCCACTGTAGAAAAAAAAAAAATCCATCCATCTGAGATGAGATCTTGTTTATTATCACTTTAGAAGTGAAACATTGATAATTTATTCTTTCTGTCTCTAAGTTGTGGCTGAAGACTTCTTGAAAACTGGCAAATGAGATAATAGTTTCAGAAATTTTTAGTTTATTTTTAGCTCCTTTCAGATTATTTTACCATATAAAGGAGGTAGATTATTTTGTCTTCCTGTCTGATTTTTATGTTGAAGTATTTAATACCATATTCTTCTACAGGCTTAAAAGTTGCATTTCACTTCACTTCATTAGAACTTGGGAGTTAAAGAGTTAGTAAGTAGTAAGGCTTTAATCCCTTTTGTGATGCTACAGTTCTTCACTTGCCGGGATTGTTCCAAACCCAGTGCAATGGATCCTGGAGATCTTGTGGCTGAGTTGATGTCATATTGGTAGTTGATTACACTGTGATGCTAATAAATGCAGAACAGTGTTGTTAATAAAGAGAGTAAAGGCTGTGAGTCTTGAGGGCTGTAATGAAAACTGTATTGTACTATATTTTGTTGGTTAATCTGCTTTTTTTCCTCCCTTTAGAAAGATGAGCTCATATAACCAAGGCATATTTCAGCTTCCTAGGATTCTAGGAAAGAGGTGGTTCTGACTTCTTTGCCAGTGGAGACAGGCCTCTGTGATTTCCCAGCTCAACTCTACTTGCCTTGTGAAGCACTCAGCTCAGAGCCAGGTTCTTAGGAAGAGGATTTCAGGGTTTGGGGGATTGGTAGAGTTAGAAGTGCAAGGCCTGTGAGTCACATAACCTGTGTGCCAACTGCTGGCTCTGCTCCATGGACCTGGGCCTTAATTTTACACCTAGCAAATGAATGAGCCTCTGGCTTTGTTGGAGCATCTCAGTGGTGTTTTATTCTTCCCAAAGCTGCCTTTGCAGTGGACTATTCAGTACTGCTTTGTGTTGTAGGTGGCCAAAGGGTCAAAGAAACAATGGCAGCATGAGGTTGTGGATAGGACTTATCCCTATCCTATCATAGTCTCTGGTTCTACTGATGGGTTAATGATATCCTTGTGGTTTCCTAACTGACATGGTCTCTATAGGGTTTAGAAAATTCTCCTTCAGAGACTTTCCTTTTTTTGTTTCCCAATAGGAGTTCAACTCGTCTGCTCTATGGCTTTTTAGAACTCTTTAATCTCCTAAATTTACTGGCTTCTCTGCCTCTCTCACTCTATAGCCACTCAGGTCTTGCAGTGTCCCAAGTGTGCCGTGGATGCTCAGCCCTATCTTTGGAGCTTTGGAGTGAGAAGATGGGCCTGGTGCACCTCTGTGATAACAGAGACTCTGGAGGCTAAGGCAGGAGATCCCTAGTTTGAGGCCATCCTTAGCAACTTAGTGAGACCCTGACTCAAAATAAAAAAATTGTACCAGAGATGTAGCTCAGCAGTAAATATTCCCTGGATTCAATCCTTAGTGTTGGGGAAAATAAACAAAAACAAAAACGGGCAGGACAGTGGAGACAGATTGGCGAGCACTCTGGCATGTTTTTTTAGGGCACTCTCTGTACATGAAGGCAGTAGGGCTACATGCTTTTTGTATTCCTCTTAGTCCTTTCACGTAGGATATTTTAAATACAATTTTGCTTCTTGATAATGACTGCAGATACCTCATTTCAGTTTACCACCCTCCCTCATGGGAGAAGTACTAGGTACTCATGAGAATTTTAAGAGCCCGCCACGAGATGTAAACTATCCTCCTCTGCCACCCGCTCCTCCCAGTCTATTTCCATAAATCTGGTCTCCTTGTTTCACTGTGTATTCCATTCCCTCTTCCTTGGCCTCTGCCTGACTGTCCCTCTCCATTCTGCACACTGCAGCTGGGGTAGACATGTGTTATTGGCAGCTTAGTTGAGATATGATATGCATAGCATATGATTCACTCATTTACAGTGTGTATATACCTCAGTGTGTAGCCATCAGCATAATAAATTTTAGAACATTTCATCACCAAAAAAGAAATGCTGTACTTCTTAGTAGTCATTCCCATTATTTTCCCTTTCCTAGCCCCTGGCAACTGCTAATCTTTCTTTCTTTATGGATTTGCCTATTCTGGACATTTTTGTATAAATGGAGTCATATATTCTTTTGCTTATCATATTTTCAAGGTTATCCATGTTGCACTATATCAGCACTTCATTCTTTTAAATTGATAAATGATATTTCATTGTATGGATATACTAAATTTTATTTATCCATTCATCAGTAAATGTACATTTGGGTTGTCTCCACTTTTTGGCTATTATGAATAGGTTTCTATGAACATTCATGTATAAGTTTTTTCATGGATATAAGTTTTCATTATTCTTGGGTTTTTACTTTGGAGTGGAATTGCTGGTCATATGATAACTTTCTTTAATTTTTTGAGGAACTGCCAGGCTGTTTTCCTAAGTAGCTGTGTTTTTTCCTTTCTTACCAGCAGTGTATGTGGGTTCCAGTTACCCCCACATCTTTGCCAACACTTTGTATTTTCCAATATGAAATGTTGTCTCATTTGTTTTAATTTTCATTTTCCTAATGACCAATCATATTGGGCAATTTTTCATGTGCTTCAGGATGAACTTTTTTTATGGGGAGGAATACTGGGGATTGGACCCAGGAAGGCTCTACCTCTGAGCTACATTCCCAGCCCTTTTTTAAAATTTGAATACAAGGTCTTGCTAAATTGAGGCTGCTCTCAAACTTTTGATCCTCCTGCCTCATTCTCCTAAGTCGCTGGGATTACAGACATGTACCACTGCACCCTACGTGGAATGAACTTTCTTAAATATAAATCTGATCCTGTGTTTCCTCTGCTTGAAATCTTTCTAGAGCTTTACCATTACTTTTGGAATAAATTCTTTTCCTTTGATAGCTTATAAAGCTATTCAAGATCTAGCCTCTGGCATTATTTCTGTCCTGTTCTCCCCATTCTCCCCTGCCTTCTGCTTACTAATTCTCTGGATCCCTCTTGATCTCACCAGCCTTCCAGACTCTGCAGTTTGCCCTTCTACCCCATAACATGTTTATTCCCATTTTCTCCTCCTCCTGCCTCGGCCTTGCCTTCTTTATTCCCCTTATTCTTGAGGTGTTAGGGGCTCTTACAGGAAGTAGCCTAAATTTCCAGAGCCAAAGTACAGGCTCTTTCTGTGTATCCCATGATATTGCCACAAAGGAGTTGTAGCTGAGTCCAGGGTTAGGTTATAGTCAGCACCTAAGCTGCATGTGGTGGTGCACACTTATAATCTTAGCAATTTATTTTGAGGGTCTGAGCCAGGAGGATGATGAGTTTGAGGTCAACCTTAGCAGTTTAGCGAGACCCTGTCTTAAAATAAATCAAGGGGACTGGGGATGTAGTTTAGTGGTAAAGTGCCCCTAGGTTTAATCCCAGTACTAAAAAAAAGAAAGGAAAAAATCATCAGCATCTAAGATCATAAGTGAATATAATCGAAATTCCAAGGCAAGTGCCACATTGAAGAACACTATCACAAGGTCCCTTGCAGCTTGCAGTCAGTTTTGTCTGTATGGGAAGAGATCACTGTTCCTTTGGTTGAGTAACATTTGAAGTAGTTGACCTGCAGTTAGAGCCATGTTATACAAACTCACTGATATTTAGGTGTTAGAATCACACTAAGTGAGAAGGTCACTTTTGAGGAGCTTGAAACTTTGGCAGGCCACAGAGGCAAAAACTTGCCCAGGCAGTACTGCATGTTTAGGCTTATTGAGGGAAGGAGAGAAAGATGGAATGGCCAAGCCACTTGAAATTGTTTTTCTTCTTGTCTTATTTTGGGGGAGGGGTACCAGGGATTGAACTCAGGGGTACTCGGCCACAGAGCCACATCCCCAGCCCTATTTTGTATTTATTTAGAGACAAAGTCTCCATAAGTTGCTTAGTGCCTCACTTTTCCTGAGGCTGGCTTTGAACTCACGATACCCCTGCCTCAGCCTCCCAAGCCGCTGGGATTACAGGAGTGTGCCACAGCACCTGGCTTCTCCTTGTCTTTTTTTTTTTTTTTTAACTTTATTTTTCGGATAAATACTATTGTGTTAACTAAGTGAAAAGTGTACGTATAATGCAAAATCACTACTGCCCCAATTCAGCACCCTTATACACTGGACTGTAATTTCCTATTCTTAGTTTGTCTGTTTTGCTAGACTGTAAGCTCTGTGAGAGCAGGGACCATGTCAGGCTTGTTCATCAGGGTTTACCCAGTGCCTGCCGTCATGGTTGGCACCTAGCAGGTCTTCCATAAACAGCTGCATCCTTGAGGCCCGTCCTCTTACAGGCTACTCACATTTCTGCCATGGATGTGCAATGCCTTATTTTCCTGTTTTGTTTTCCATCTAGCCTATAAGCTTGTAACAAAGAACATGTCTCCATGTTGTTTTCTCTGTAGCCTAGCACCAGGAGAGCCCAGAGTAAGTAGTGCTTTACAGGTGTTCAGGAAATAATTGTTATAACCCTGTCCAGATGAATCACCATTATCTGCAGTTTAGCCTATTCTAGATGAGCCCACCAGATACAAAAAGGGGAAAATTATTCAATGGTATAAGAAAAAAAAGTTCTGTGGCTGGGGATGTGGCTCAAGCGGCAGCGCGCTCACCTGGCATGCGTGCGGCCCAGGTTCAATCCTCAATACCACATACAAAGATGTTGTGTGCGCCAAAAACTAAAAAAATAAATATTAAAAAATTAAAAAAAAAAAAAGAAAAAAAGTTCTCATTACATAGACCTCAGTAAACATCAGATTTTGATGGTTGGGCTATATCTGAGCTGAAGCTTCCCCACCTCCTTAAAGAATTTGTTAGGAAATAATGCAGATAGTTCAGACTGTTTTTTAGAAAAACAATTCTGCCCTGGGATAGGAGGGAAAGGAAGCTGGCGGGTGAGAGGCATGAAAGAGGCCCTGCTGAGTCAGTTTGTAGCCTCTGGTCCTGTTGGTGAGGAAAGTGACAGCCATCCAGACAGGTGACAAGAAAGTTTATTCCAGCAGCAGAAGAAACAGTTTATTCCAGCAGCAGCTCTGTGGCCTAAAGCAACATTCCTCAAACTTATTATGCCGAGCATCCTTTAAGGTCATGATGAAATGCTAACATGCACTTTGGATTACAGTCAACAGCAAATTGTGGCTTCACAGATTAATTAACTGGTAAGAAGCAAGTTTGATGCATGAGTATTTACTTTTAAATCTATATAACAAGAAGTAAATTAGAAGTTAAGTCGTTTTTTTCTTTAAGATAAGAACTGAAAGGAGAGAGTGCTTTTTGTAATCTTGAGAACAGCACATTTGCTTCAAGGAAGATTGTGATTGCATAATTTGACCAACAATAAACATCTACTTTTCTTACATGTTTATAAAATAAAATAAATGTTAGAAGAAAAAATACTGTAATGCTTTTTTTAATTTTATTTTACCTCAAAGAAACTCTATGAGAATTTTATAGAACTTCAGTGTTCCTGGGAGATCTTAGGGAAATGCTGCCTCAAAAGCCTATTTTAAATAATTGTGAGGCATTAAAGTAGGATTTTGCTGTATTGTATATAAAACTCAAAAGAGTGTGGGTAATATTTGACCTACCAAAGTCACTACTCTGCTTGGGGAGTTCACTACTCATCTATTTGAGTGATTCCAGAGGCCCTTTCCAGATGCCCAGATTCTTATGTAGTTAAGACTTAGGAGTACTTCATACTGTTTATCACCTTCAACCCCATACCAGTGTAGGTTAGTGAGGACCAAGAGGCCCCTATGTTGGCAGGAGAGAAGACATGGTCTTCCTGTTTTTCTCTTCCTAGGGTTGTTGTGGAAGTGTTTGATTTCATGATGTGTATTCCTCAGAGGGCATGTAAACAACTGGCAGCATATTTAGCTCAGGAGGACTGTCTTTTGGGGAAAGTCAAATAAGATGGTGGCTGGAGCTGGGGCTAGGACCCTAGGGACTCATTCTACCTCATAGTCAACTGGGAAAAACCAAGTAAGTTCTGTCCTCTCTGGGCCTTAGTTGCCTTGTCTTTCAGGCAACTTGGATGATCTTCAAGTTTTCTTCTGGTGCTAATGTATGTCCAGGACCCCTTGCTATACTTTCCAAGGAGCATTGGGAATTTGAAGTTAGACAGGAAGAAGGTGAGGCAAGGAAGAAGCCTGGTCCCATGCCCCAGTGCACTTTTCCTAGCCTCTCAGCTATGAAAGGATAAGAGAGTCCTCTCCCTTGCTCTCTCTGCCACTCCTCTGACTTCTAGCACATGCACATGTATGTGTGTAGACATACCATACAAATCCCACTCAGTCTTGTTTTGGGTAGGTACCCAGTGTATCAGTCTGCTCAGGCTGCCATGATAATATATAGACTGCATGGCTTAAATAATAAATATTTATTTTCTATTAGATCTGGAGGTTAGGAAAGTGAGCTCAGGGTGCCATCATGGTGAGGGCCTTCCTGGTTTCCTATCTCATGGCCTTTCCTTTGAGTGTGCATGTGACCCTTAAAATGCCACTGATTTTATTGGACTAGGACTGGGCTCCACTCTTCTCACCTCAGGTAACCTTAATTATCTCCTAAAAGACATGTCTCCAAATAGAGCTATATTCGGGGTTAGAGCTTCAGTGTATTAATTTGGAAGAGGATGCTATTCAATTTATTGCACCCAGTGATGTAATGATGCCAATCTATATTTGTGGAAGGAGCCTCCCCCCCTCTTTTTGGTAATGGGGGATTAAAATCAGAGGAATTACATTCCCAGTGCTTTTTATTTTGAGACGTAAGTTTTGCTAAATTGATGAGGTTAGCCTTGAATTTGAGATCCTCCTCTGACTCAGCCACTTGAGTCCCTGGGATTAAAAGCATGTACCACTGTGCTGGGCTAGTCCCTATTGTTTTGTTTTAATTTAGTTGTTGATAGATCTTTATTTTTTATTTATTTATATTTTATTTATATACTGAGAAATGAACCCAGCGCCTCACACATGCCAGGCAAGTGCGTTACCGCTCAGCCCCAGCCCCAGCCCCAGCCCCATAATTCCTAATTTTTTTTTTTTTTTGAAGTTCAAAACATGTGTATTTGAAGGCAGGAGGTTTATAATGGTTCAGTGTCCTGGTTCTGAAGGAGACAGACCTCTTTGATTTCCACTTCAGCCACTTACTAATCATGTGGCATTTGGCAAAGTACATAACTTCTCTCTGGGAGTTGGCATCCTCATCTGTGAAATTGGGGTACCCTCGGAAGAGGGTTTACCTGAAAGGCCTTGGCCCTGAGTTCAGTGCTCCCTATTGAGCAAGCATTCAGTGAGTGGTGGTAAGTACCATTGCTCTGCCCCCGACTCCCTTGCACCCTTAATAAATTTATTCTTCTAGCTTTCTAGGACTCAGAAGCTAGGTGGGTGTCTAGAACCTTTTTTTTTTTTTTAATTGTTGATGGACCTTTATTAATTTATTTTGGTGCTGAGAACCGAACCCAGTGCCTCACATGTTCTAGGCAAGTGTTCTACCAACTGAGCCACAACCCCAGCCCTGTTTAGAACCTTTTCCTGTGTCTGGAGGCTAGGGACAGGCTGGGGGACCAACCCCTTCCACTTTCAAGACAATGTGGGTCCACCTCATGCTGCATACTTCCATCCCTGGATTATTTTAAAGAGCTTTTTATTATGAAATAATTTCAGAATAATAGAGTGTCAAGGGCAACAGAACATTTTGCCACATTTTACTATTCATTCTTTCCTTCCTCATCCTCTGGGCTCCTCCTTTTTCTTTTCTTCTCTCTGAGCCATGAACTATTTAAGAGTTATTTGCATACTTCATGGCTCTTCATCCATACAGAGTTTTTTAGTGTATGTTTTCTAAGAACAAAGGCATTTCCTCACATATCCATAGCATAGTTACCAAATTCAGGAAATATGTAATCTCTGGCCTATATGAGAGCTACTTATTTCTATGTAGTTCATCCCTCAGTTTTGTCTGCTGGCCCAATAATGTACTTTAAAAAATATTTTATTTTTTCTGGTCCAGGGTCCAATTCAGCATGGAGGACTTTCCTGCCTTTAGTAATCCTCTCTTGTTTCCTTTAAACTGGAGAAGTTCCTTAGCCTTTTTTTGTCTTTCTTGACATTGATTTGTTTTGAAGATTACAGTCAAATTGATGTAGGATATCCTTTCAGTTGCCCCCTTAACATTCATTTAAAGTAAAATGAGTTAGGAAAACACTTTCCCTTTTCTTTTGTATAAATATGTATTTGCTGAACACACAACCTTGTATTGCATGCTGTGAGGGAGGGACAAAGCCTGGTCCCGACTTGAAGACCTTAAGTTTGGGTTTGTGGGAAAGTATTTCCATCAGGTAGGCTGAAGGGACCCCCTATGTTCTTGTGCCTGGAGGCACTCACAAGCCTGGATACTTATATCTTGGATGGATGCAAGATGAGTCGGCATTCTAGAGGCCTACAAAGATGCAGAAAATGGCCCTGCTTCCTTTCCAGCATCAGTCATCATTACCTGGACTCCTGAGGTGCTCCAAAGATCACACTCCAAACACGAAGTTTTGTGGAAGTCTTGAATGAGCTGCAGCCATGGTTTCTAGCCCTGCCTACCAAAGGATCTGCTCTGATTTGGGGATACTCCCTTTCCTTCTGGGCCAGTGCTGGGAAGAAGAGTTCCTGTGTGGCTCTACTAAGTGCCACTGGAACTCAGGATGAATTGGGGAAAAGAAAGTCACTGAGCCCTGGAATGATGGGAAGATGGGCTGCAGGTTGCAGGCCTCAACGCAACCTGTGACAAGGTTAAGCAACCTTAGGATGATCTGCATTTTGACCTGGCTGGCAGATTAGATCCTCAGACCTGAAGCTTTGCTTTTTTCAGCTTTTTAGCTTCTCTGCTGGGTGATACACATGGAAAATCTAGTCAAGTATTTTGTCAGACCAAAGCAGACAGTGCAAAAACGTTTGAAGAGTCATTGAATCTTCACAAAACAGTGGCCAAACGAGGTTTCAATATGAGAAACAAAATAAAATTGATTTTCATGTGGTCATTAAGTCAACACCATTGCCTACTTTGTTAATACACTAACATTTCAAAGTACTATCTGGGCTGCAGACATTCCTATAATAGATGAGAGACAACCCTGCCTTTCTGAATTTAACTTAAGTGTTAAGTACAAGCTGGGCATAATGGCTCATGCCTGTAATCTGAGCGGCTCAGGAGGCTGAGGCAGGAAGATTTCAAAGCCAGCCTCAGCAACTTAGCAAGACCCTAAACAACACAGTAAGACCCTATCTCTAAATAAAATATAAAAAAGGGCTGAGGATGTGGTTCAGTGGTGAAGAACCTATGAGTTCAATTCCTGGTACCAAAAAAGAAAAAAGAATAAGTACAATATAAAATTCAATCCCTGGGTTGCTTTGATGACATTTTAAGGGCTCAGTAGCCACATGTAGCCGATGGCTACTGAGTTGAACAGTGCAGTTCAGAGCAGTTCCACCTCTGCACAGAGTTAAGTTGGACTGTGCTCCCTGCACTTCCTGAAGCTTGAGGAGCTGTGGTGTGGAGAGGCCTCCTTCCCTGATAGACTTTCACAGGGGCAAATTTGACAAAAGGTGAAATTTGCCCTTAAATGTGATTGGAAGCTATTAGTAATTTGGTTTCTGGAAGGCTGGGATGGGTCAGAGGTGTACTGAAACACTTTTGTGCTAGACTGACAGCCCAGAGCCCTGTGAAACTAGTTTTAGTATCAGGGTGACTTAGCCAGATTTTTTTAAAAAAAATTCTAGGCAATTAGATGGAGCAGTGGTGTCAGCTGGTACATGGGGTCTTTCTACTCACCTGGTCCCTTGTAGCCCCAGCCCTTTAGTGCAGGGGCAGGCACAGGAGCCCAGTTTCTAACAGTGGGGGCACTTCCTTGGGGAGGGGATTCCCTATCCCAGTTGCCGAGGCAACTGCCACCAAAGACCCTGGGCTGGGAGTTGAGCTGAGCTGTCTGGTGGTAGATTTTGAGGCAGGACAGGCTGGGAACTCACGTGGATGATACAGACAACAGACAATGGACTGGATTGTTACTGCTCCTGCTCCTCCTCTGCCAAGAACATCCAGAACCACTACCCCAGTCAAACCTCTGTTCACCATTCCAAGAAAGTGGGGTGTAAGCGTGAGTGAGGGAGTGGGAGGACAGTTGTCTCTAAGCTCCTGGGACCCAGCCCACAGCTGCTGAGGAAACCATACGGCTGACTGCACACGCGGGAGTGACTGTGGCTCTTTGTAAGTGCCTATCTGCCTGTGGGTCCTTGCCTCTGTGTGTGCACCTCTGTCCCCGCCTCCCAGCCTCAGCTAAGGAGGGGAAGCTGAGTGCCTGGCCTGGCCCATCTCTAGCTCCCTACTCAACTGCTCAGCTTGAACGCACCTGCCTCTGCTCCAGCTAGGATGTGGCTCTTCCACGCTCTGCTCTGCATGACCAGTAAGTCAGTCTCACCCCATGCCTCAGCTCCAGCTTGATGTCTACAGCATGTAGCCTTTTGTTTGGGGGCTCAGGGCCAGTGTTAGAGAAAGCAGGAGTTTCCCCAGGGATGTGCTCTCACTTGATGGGTCAAATCTCCAGGCTTGTTGAGAAGGACCTATGGTGCTCTGCTTCGACCATGTTGATAGCTTGTGGCTATGGATTCCAGCGTTCTGCCACCCAGTTCCATCTCCAGCCTGTCTCCTCTTTCCAGGGCACCCACTCAGGGCAGGTCCTTAGGTCTTTGCCAGGTTAGTTGATCAAAGGGCAAAAGCCCAGCTCCACCTAGCCGAGCACCCTAATGTTACAGAGCAAAGCTTTTGCTGTTGAAGGTGAGGACCCCATGGGAATATAAGCACCAAGAGACTGGGGTGAGTATGTTAGGAAGCAAGAGACTGCTTCCTGTTCCTGTGGTGTGTGGGTGGCAATAGGGAGGCACTTCTGCTACTTGGGGGTCCCATTCTGGTCTTTAAATTCCTCACAGTCTGGTTGTGCTTGTGTGCACCCATAGTCTTAGCTCACTGGCTAGCCTGGCCTTTTTTAGGGAGAATGTAGGCTCCTAGGGGCCTTTATACTGCTCTTAGGATTACTTGAGCCCAGGAGTTCAAAGCCAGCCAGACCATGTCTCTAAAAACAATAAAACCTCTCAAGAAAGATACTTTAGGCAAGCCAAGTCCTGAGTCTGCCCACGAGTCCCTGGGGACAGGATAGCATGGTCAGGGAGCCTTTGGAGGCTGTTTAGATAAGAAAAGTGATTCTCACTAGTGGTCCGGCAGACCTGGGATCTTCACGTGGTCGAAAGCTTGGCAGAAAAATTAGGTGGACCTCAGGCATGGTAATGCAAAGGCTCCTAGGAGCCTGCATTCTCCCTGGAACTGGCCAGGCCAGCCAGTGAATGCCAGTGTCTGAAAGCTAAGTTGATGCTTAGAGCTTAGAGGATTAGCATCCTCCATGGGCCAGATCACCCAAGAAACACACCAGAGCATGCTGTGCTTTGCTGTAGCACCAGCAAACATACATTTGGAACAAATTTTTTTTTAAATATTTTTTTAGTTGTTAGTGTACCTTTATTTGGTTTATGTGTGGTGCTGAGATTCAAACCCAGTATCTCACACATGTTAGACAAGTGCTCTACCATTGAGCTATAGCCCCAGCCCCATTTTGGAACAAATTTTGATATTTGATATTTCAAAGCATCAGAGTAGTCATTATGGAAAGATCAAACCTTTGTTGAACTTCCTTTTTCTTTTTCTTTTTAATATTATTTTAGTTGTAGATGGACACAATACCTTTATTTATTTATATATTTTCATGTGGTGCTGAGCATTGAACCTAGTGCCTCATACTTAGGAGGCAAGCGCTCTGCCACTGAGCCACAATCCCAGCCCAAACTGCCTTTTTCGTATTGCATGGTTTAGACTTGTCTTTATTTTTGTTATATACGGGGTATGGAGCAGATTTACCTTTCTTATGGCTTTGATGCTCAATCACCAGGAATATCTGGAGATATTTAGACTAGACTCTGGTTCACCTTCATCTAGTATGGAGGACGTGATGAAGGCCCAGAACAAGACAGTGACTGTCCAGGGTAGCAAGAAACACCAATGAGTCAGGGCTCAAGCCCAAGCCCCAGTAGTCTCTGAGCTCCAGAATATTCCCATAGCCTGGGATGCTAATCCTGGCATCTTCACTCTGGGTTCCTGATCATCTGTCTCCTGTTGCTCCTTAGACAACCACCATCACTTAAGAATCTTCACCAACAGGTACCATTTGTCAAACCCCTTCTGAGGCCTAGGCATGTCCCACATTGGTGGACAGCAGAGAACAAGAGGAGAAGACTGGCAGCACTAAGACCTCTTAGCCTACAGCTTATCTACACTGTGGGACTGGTGAGAGCAGGGCTCCAGCCACTCAGTCTGAGTGGGATAAATGATGCTGTGACAGTCCTGCTATATGCTGTGAGACCCTGAGATCTGGGGATAAACAAGTCTTGGGGGGCTTCCCAGAGAAGGCGAGACTGGTTCTGAGAGTCTTGATGGCTGGAAAGAATCTGGAGAGGAAGCGGGGAGGTACCAGGGAGGATGGGAAGAACCCCTCAGGCCATGAATTCAGGCCCACCCCAAAATTCTGTGCTGGGTTAGCTTGGGCTGAAGCAAATCCAGAACTATTTCTGGCCTGGCTCTGACCTTCTACCCTTTCCAGGCCACCTGCTGTGGCAATGTCCTCTTCTAGTCACTCTTGGGAGCAGATGAGATAAATTATCTAATGGTTTGGAAAGAGTCAGGCACAAATAAACAGACACCCTGAAACCTGGAGCCACTCACACCTGAGTCCCCAGCCCCAGCATACCCTGCTTCCATGTGCCCCCCCGAAGTCTCTAGGTCACTCCTCAGCCCTTACTCATTCTGTGGCCACAGCAACTCACTTCTCCCTCCAAGGGAGAACTTAAGTCTACTTCCCTCATGGTGTGAAGAAGGAACTGTGCTATTGACCTATGAAACCCTGGGGGTGAAGAAAAAGGAACCAGAGTCTAGGGCCTGCTCTGGTCTGACACCAGCTCAGGCTGAGGCTTGTGGCTCTGTCCAGGGGGCAGAGGGGGCAGACCTGGCTCTGCCTGGCATAGCCCTGCGTCTGTGTACAAGTTGGTGAGAGAAAGCTGGGGATATAGCTCAGTTGATAGAGTGCTTGCCTTTATACACAAAGTCCTGGGTTCAATCCCTAGGACAAAAATAAGTGTGTGAGAGAAAGCCTTGGTCCTCATGGAGAACTGTGGTTTCAGCTGGCCCTGGAGGCTGGGGAGGTCATTAGCAAGTAGTCTGGTAAAAACAAGGGGCTTTCTGGTTTGGGAAAAGACCAGGGATGGAAACCTGGGTGTGTGGAAGATGGAGGGTGAGGTTTGCGTGGGACCAGAAGACTGTGTGTTCTTGTGTTGTCTGTCCTACTCCAAGATCAGAACATCTTGGACCTGGTGATAAGGGAATTGTTCCTCTCCTATGTAATGAAAAGATAGCACACACAATAACCTCTCTAGCCCCATCAGAAGACCTAACAAGGGTGCCCCCAGGACTTGATGGGGAGGGGTCAGGCCATTTCAGGTGTGGGAGTGAGGATAGCCCAAGCCAAGAAGAGCCAGCATGGTGACCAGTGACTATGGAGGCTAAAGCAGGAGGACTACCTTATCAATGTTGCAAGACCTTGTCAAAAAATAAGAGCCTGGAGCAGTGGCACATGCCTGTAATCCCAGCAGTTTGGGAGGCTGAGGCAGGAAGATTGAGAGTTCAAAGTCAGCCTCAGCAACATAATGAGGCACTTACCAACTCAGCCAAGATCCTGTCTCTAAATAAAATGTTAAAAAGGGTGGGGGATGTGGTTCAGTGGTTCAGTACCCCTGTACCCAAAATAATTTTTTTTAAATAAATAAAAAGGGATAAAGGTAGAGCACCCCGGTTTCAATCCTTAGTATTGTGGGGGTGGTATGAAAGAAATAAGAGAAAAATGTCAGAGAAGGGCAGTGCTTTAGGAGCACCAGGTGGAGTATGGGCCCTGTGGAGCCCTCTGGGAAATTGGCTTGGTATGTGAGGTATGTATGGAGTGTCTTTGGTACATATGGGGTATGTATGGGATGTGTATAATATATATGTTGTGTATGGGGTATGCATGATGTGTACAGAGTGTATACAGGGAATGTATGGGGTGTATATATGTGTGTGAGGTGTATGAGGGCCAGATAGTGCGTTGGAGGGGTATATATGGGGTATAGGAATGTTATGAGGTATGTGTGCTGTGTGTGGAATACATATTGTGTATGGGGTATATATGTTGTAGATGGGTATATAGGATGCAGGTAATGAGTATAGGGTATGTGTGAATGTATAATGTATAGATGTGGGGGGGATATATAGGAAAGCATATATGATGTGTGGGTGGTGTTTGGGGCATATGAGGTGTAGGGGTTGTATGGGAATGTATATGGGGTATAAGGATATATATGAAGTGTATCTGCTGTATGTATATTGGGTGTGTATAGGGTAGGGTGTGTGTGTGTGTGTGGTATGCATGGGGTGTGTTTTACAGTATATGGGGTATATATGGGTATGTGTGTGTGCATTGGTGTACATGGGTGTGTAGAGTTTGTTTGGTGTATGGGGTATATGGGGCTCATGGGGACACACAGGCAGCCAGTCCTGAGAGGTCCATGGTGATGGAGGTAAGGAGTGTGGAGGGCCCAGAATGCTAGGCTGAGAAAGCTTGGAAAGGGAATAGGAAGCCATGGAAGGCCTCAAGCAGGGTAGTGACAATGTCACCTTGCTTCAGTCTGTCTTTGAGACACAGGGACTCATCGACAGACTTGTATGTTGTATGGAAGGTGGAGTATAGAAGAAAGAGGATGCAGAGAAGCCAGCAAGAAGGCTACAGTCATGGTCTAGTCCACAGGTGCTGAGGATGGCAGGCATGAGGAGGAGGAGGCACTCATGAGAAATAGGAGGACAACTGGAACAGCAACAGGTGCTTAGCATAGTACCCCACACATAATGTTGCTCAAGACCTGTGGCTATTGTTTCTAGCTAGCCTGTGGAGGGCAAGGGAGCCAGTGACCTCAGGTGACTAAGGTTTGAGGTTGAGATGATAGAAAGACCAAGGGAATGGACTGAGGATGTGGTCCATGGGCGGCTCCCCTGGGCAGGCTCTCTGCAGATTGTTCTGAGGTGTAATCCTCTCCCAAAGCCTTTCTAGGCATTCTGGGCCAGGTGTCAGGACACTTGAATCTAATTCCACTTCTAGAAGCTATGAGCTATGCAGCTCATTGCATAGATTTGGGCAAACCATGTCCCCTGGCCTTTGGTTTATTGGGAATGTCAATGATCACTGTACTGCAAAAATGTGTATTTAAAATGCTCAAAGCAAGCCAGGCATGGTGACACACTTCTGTGATCCCAGCTACTCAGGAGACTGAGGCGGGA